CGCCCCGCGCGCAAGGACACGCGGAATGGTGACCTCGAGCGGAGGCGACTTGAGCTGCGCGCGCAAAGTTAAGCACTTAGTTGGAAAGAGAGTCCTTCCCTTGGGTCGCTCACTGTTAGATCCCCAACTACCCTTTTCCTGGAAATGTGCCAATGAGCGGTATCCTTAGGCACAGTATAGAGCTGCTCCCCTGTCAGCATCATCCGGAGGCAAGGGGGAGAGATGCATTCAGGAGCTCTCTGAAAAAGAAAAAACGCACACCTTCGCTAGCTTTGGACAGGTGCGCGTCTGCTTCAGGCTAGGCACTGCAGAGCTGTCGATGGGGCAGAAAAAAAAAACAGGAATTAAAAGTTCCGAAAATCTTGGCCTGATGTTCCTGCCAGGTTCTTCTGTCAAAGACAAGTTTCAAAATGGGGATTGCTGGCTCAAGACAGAGATGTAGGCTTCAGGTTCTACCGCTGGTCGTTTGGGTTGGTTTAACAAAGGGTTGCTAGTCATTCAGCATTCCCACCTCTCATCAGCCTCTATTGAAACGCAAATTTGCTTTTTAGCTGCAAGTCAAAAATCTCTTCATCTGTAAGCAGTGATACTGAATCCGGATCTAGACATTGGGGAAGTGAGGTAAGACAAGCATTAAAATTAGGCTTCCTCTCTGGAAGTCCTTGAACCAGTTGGCATCTCAAAGCAAAGGAACCAAGACTTTTGTTATTATTATCTGTTTACAAGTGAGTTTTGCTTTCTCTGCGCAGCTCACTCTATTTTGTAATACATGTTGGTACATAAAGCATCAATATGGGTTGGGCGATGGGGAGTCAAAATTTTGACTGCACCACTGGCTGCATAAGACACTTTCAGTCCCTTTGTTTAAGAAAGAAAGAAAGAAAGAAAGAAAGAAAGAAAGAAAGAAAGAAAGAAAGAAAGAAAGAAAGAAAGAAAGAAAGAAAGAAAGAAAAAGAAAGAAAGAAAGAGAAAAAGATAAATAGAAATTACCAGAATGTTTTTTTTAAAAAAATGAGAAAGAAAGAAAGAAAGAAAGAGAAAGGGTAAATAGAAATTACCAGAATGTTTTTTTAAAAAAAAATTGGGGGGTGGGAAGAAAGAAAAAGAAAGAAAGAAAGAGAAAAAGATAAATAGAAATTACCAGAATGTTTTTTTTAAAAAAATGGGGGGTTTGGACACTAAATTTTACTAACAAAATAATAGTAATAGTAATAATGTTCTTCAATTGCATAATCCTAGTTCTCCACCAGTTTACTTCTTTTTAGAACAACTGGTCTGTCCATAACATGCAGGATACTAAATCTTGAAGATGAGAACATGAACTAAACACAGCTTTGGATTCTTTTAAAAATCCACACACCTGCTAATTACTGCTTGTACTAAACCCTTGCTCCTCTCCAGAGTCCTCTCTATGTTGGGCATTCACACCCACAGGTTTTTAAAGAATGGAGCTATGTTAAAAGTGTTCATACACCTAACGCGAGCTATGCACACTTCCTGTTTGGAGATAAATGGAATGATCTCAAATCTGCAGTTACCCAAGACAGAGGAGAAGGCCCTGTTACATTTGTAAAATAATGTAAGCAATCAAATCCCAGCGTACTCAGCAACTTTCCCCCCACCTCTTTTTAAATGGCGGGTATTATTATCTGCAAGTAAAATCTACAGTATGGTAAAGAACAGCTTGCTATCTGGTAAATGTAGTCTCATGTAGCCTTAAAGTCTCCAGTGTTAATGGAAGATGACATCAGCCCCTTTTATTGACTGTAGAAGTCTTGGTCTCCTTTCCTGCTTCCTTTGTAATCCAGAAGATGAGAGAGTTATTTTTGGGACTACAGTTTCCAGCCTGGGCATAGATGTTATAAACCAAGAAAAGTATGGTGGTCTGATCATTTTTCAAATAATTCTATAGAAATGAACTCTTGTTTTTCCCCTGTCTCTGTAGAGGTCCCCCAAGGATCTGTTGGATCCCAAACTACCCTTTTTATTTGCTGCTCCAAATTTCCTGCCTAGCAAGACCAGTTTAGAGAACCTGACTTTATGCTTTCCATACCTAAGTGATAGTTTCCTCTCTGTTTGCCCATACTCAAAATGATGTGCACAAATTCGGTTCAATAAAGGCAGCTGCTAGTTACGCACCATTGTATCCCTCCATGATGCGTAAATCTCCTCCTGGCTTGATTATCCATACTTCCCTAGCCTAATTCTACTGTAATAGAAGAAAAACGACCGCTGATCTCTTCCCCTTTCACTGTGATGAGTCAGCATAAACCATATCCTTTTTTGAGGTTGGGGGTCTATTTTTTTTGTTCATTCTGCTGCTCGTTGTGTATATTTGCAATTAAAACATGTCTGCTCAGATGTGGCTTTTGTATCCCTGATGTTGTGCAAAGAAATAATATTTCAGAACTGACTCGGACTTCTCATAGAGAAAGAATGTTAAACACTATTCGTATTTTTATAAAGGTCATCAGTACAATGTTCCTGTACTGTCAAACTTTACAAAAATATTTAGGTCTGGCAAAGTCCCAAGTCCGGAACTTGCCTGGAATCCAAACTCATCTTCCTGGTTCCTTGCAGCATGTACCCGCTAGCTTATTTGATTGAAATTCGAATCCACAATACTTGTTACCCAACATTGTCTGTTGTTCTAGTCAGATTGTGGTTTCGGTGCTGTTATGATTTTTTTGAAACCTGACCAGCAATTGTGCAAATGAAATTATTTACGGCTCTGTCACTGCTGAGATTTAGAATTTTTTGTGTTAGGCAGAGCATGACCAGCAATTGTGCAAATGAAATTATTTATGGCTGTGTCACTGCTGAGATTTTTGTGTTAGGCAGAGCACAGTATGTGTGAACTTGAGGGAATTCCAGTGTAAGCTCCTTTTCGTTTGCCAGCCAAACAGAATATATGGCAAAGCAAAATGAAAGAACGAAACCCCACATTTCAAAATCTTGCACTATGTAGATCAGGGGTCTCAAACTCAATCTACCTTGGGGCTGCTGGAGGCAGAGTCTATGTGAGGCTGGGCTGCATCAGATCTTCTGCCAAGCAGAGCAAGAGCCCGAGGAAGCTGCCCAGGAGTTTCCTTAGCCTGGCTGGGGCTCTGTGGAGGGGGGGGCGAGCCCTCATCGCTGGCCACGACCCCCTCTGGCTCATACTTCACTATCACCACCAGCAGCAGGATGAAGAACCTGAGAAGGGAGGGAGCGCCGGCAACCGCCTAGCGGGGTAAATTTTACAGGCGGGCTGGCAGGCAGTCTGCAGTTCTGGATGGAGGGTGCAAGAGGCGCTGTCTTGGGAGAGAGCCGGTGAGCAAGGCGAGGCTTTTTTTGACTCTTGACAGCAGAGGTTGCGTGGGCGCTTCAGGGGGGGCAGGCAAGGCGGGGGCCAGAAACTATCATCCAGCGGGGCCGCAAATGGCCTCTGGGCCACATGTTTGAGACCCCTGATGTAGATCAAGTAAATGTGGCAATAAAAGCTATATCAGATGTACTTCCAGAATGACATATGAAACATATTTTTTTGTGATTATTTGTAAGTAAATGACAACCATGGGGCAAACTCAGCCTAGATTTGGTACAACTGTATGCAAAAAATCAGGGCTTTAACTCTTGGCTGATGTCATGGTCCCAGTCTCGGATCAGGTCCCTAACAGACCCCTGAGGTTGCTATTTGCCCTTGTGGGATTCACAAGGGGGAAACGTCCCTCCTGATGCAAGTAGCAGCCACGTGTCTACATCAATATTGTTTCTTAGATTAACATCCCACCTTTCCTCCTTTTAGCTGAAGGCGGCATGCATGTCTCTCCTCCATCCCCTTTTTTTTCACAGAAATTCTGAGAGGAAGGTCAGACTGAAATATTGTGACAGGCCAAATTTCATCCATCAAGTTTCATGGCTAAGTTGAGATTTGAACATAGGTCTCTTGAGTTTTAGTTCAACACTAACCACCACACCACACTGGCTCATTTTATTGTGTGTTTTTTTTTATTTGTATGCTGCTTTTCTCTCCATAGGGGACTCTACATATCTCAAAACACTTAAAATCATACAATAATAAGTTTAAAATACTGTACAAAACTTTATGTAAAAAAACCTTTATATTAAAAAAACAACTAAACATTGGTCAACGTTCAAAAGAATTTTAACTTTATTTTTTAAAAATCTAAATTTTAAAAAATGGAGCATTCTCTAAACCATCACTTATTGCTTAAAAGCCTGCCTTAATCATGTTTTTGTTATATTTTGTTATATATTAATTTTAAAAAGAGGGGGGGGAGAGGGGGGAAGAGCCGAAGAGAAAAGCTTGTCTTAAAAGAATGGACAAGAGAGAGGGGATCAAGCTGGCTTCTCAAGCTCAGTGCCTTGGAGCAGCCTCTGAGAAGGCCCTCTTGTGTGTCCTCCCCAAATGAGCTTTGTAAGGGGGTGGATCTGAGAGAAGGACCTTCCCACAAGATCTTAAAAGCAGAGTAGGCTATGTGGGGTGATGCAGTACTTCAGATAGCTTG